CCAATGGCAAAAGTAGTAACTACGTTCCATCATAACATTTTTAAAAGGTAATTTTGTAAGCTCAAAATTCATCTGGGCCATATAAAAAGGCTGAATTTGCCATATTCTACATTTACGTAGAAAATAATTCACTCGAAAGATGATATATTGGTTCTGATGAGATAAATCCAATGAGTACTGTAAAACAATCCACGAAGATAAAAGTAGACAAAATGTGGAATTTACACAGCTGACTCAGGGATGCCCAGGGAAATGAGCACCACCGCACGTGTTTACATGGACACTTTATGGTTACACTAACCCGTGCACTTTAGAAAGAGTTTGGTTAAAAAAAAAATATCTGTTGAGATTATAAAGTTATTACCACCCCACCCAAACATTGCTGGCAATATGTGTGTACTATATACTGTATATGCTATTCAGAATGGATAGCATGCTGTCAAGAATCGTATCCATAAAGATAATAGCGATCCCAAAAGCTAAACCCCTGAAACCGATATCTGAATAGGCTTCCAATCCAACCGGCAATTAAAGCTCCCGACACAAGGACAAAAAGTCACCAGCACTGAGCATCCAGCGCAGGTCCATTTTCAACTTAACCAACCAGAAAAACAAACTCGATTGGTATAAAATAGCCCACACAATATTCCCCGCCATAGAAACATGGACTTTCTACCAACGGTGACAGATGAGCAATGCCAAGCACTAATTTGATTGTGGGGACGTTGAGTACTCGACGAACAGACATTATCCCAATGGATTGTGCCTGGTTCTAACGTGTTCCTTTAGCTACCTTTTCAACCGAGAGTAGATCTGCTTCCGACTGAATCCTGACAATCTAACACATTCTTATGGTAGTGTAGTGACATCGCGGGATGCCACTGTGCAGTGCTGGCCCTAGAGAGGCACGGCGTGCAGTGTAGCGACATCGCAGATACCACAGCGGTGTGGGTGTAGTTTTGGCCCTAGAGGGGCCCGGTGAGCGCTGATTGACGGCGCTGGATGGCACCACGCTTGGCGTGCAATGCCAGCCCTACAGGACAGGGTGTGGGAGTGTCGGCCGTTACTAAAGGCCATGACACTCTGGTTGACCCGAGAGGACACGTGACCAGTTAAGTCTACAAATGGACCCCAAGTGGGGGCTAGGGGGGTCACGTGGTTGGGATCCAAATCCTGCCCGAGGATTCTGGAAGGTGGTCGTGGCCAAGGGCGGAGCCGGCCACGCCGCAGAGAATATAAGCCGGGTCCCGAGAGGGACCGGGGTTGTTGTTGTTCATCCTGGAAGAAACCTTCGTCTACGTTCTACGTTCAACGAGTCTCCAACACGTGGACCTGGATCCGAGCTGTTGGTCCCGGTCCGTAGTAGCTAGCTATGTTGTAATTAGTGTAGTTAGCCTGGTGGTCACCACCACAGGTTGTTATTCTGTTAAGGGGGAAGTTACCCCGTGTGTTGTAGTTAAATAAATGTGTTGCCTCCAAATCTACATCTGCGACTCAGTTGAACTCACTACAGTAGTCATAATTGTATCACCCTAGGTGGGATAATGGGCTGAGTCTGCCACTAACCGGAATTAACTTTGCAACTATTAAATTGTGAGTTGAGAACTTTGCCACGGATATTATTCCAATATACGTTACATGAGTGAACAATTCGTGCCTTAACCCTGATGTTTTAAAATATTGTGCCATCACATTAATCTGTCACACATCTTGAGACATCGTTAAACGTGAATACAGTATAAAAACAATTTGCTAGAAATAAAATGTAATTTCTGACATGCAGTGCACTGCAGCATTGCAGTATTTATGAGTGCAGCTTTTATGACCATTGCAAAAGAGCATGAAATCGGCTGTGTGTCTCTCACCAACGACAGCTCTCTTCATTCACTCTGATGACATCTGCAAAGTGTCTGGAATTGGGACCGTTTCAAATTCAGTTTGGCAGGCTCACTCAACAAAAACAAAAAGTGTTTTTGTGTCTCAGATAGAATTCCTTAAAGCTGAAGTCTGGACAACGAGATGAGAGGGGAACATTTTCAGTATATGAAATTATTTTTTGATAAAAAATGTAAAATAAAGAAATACTGTTCAACCTCACAGGCAGCTATTCTGATGTTGGAAATTCCACATTACTATGGAGGGGGCTGCCACGGTTTCTCCATAGACAACCTCAGAGAGATTATAGGCTGAGTTAACCATTGGCTGGGATTTAAACTCACGACCTCGCAAATTGTGAGCCACGAAGAAGCATCACCAGACCACGCATTATTATTAGTATTATTGTTCCTGTACTATATCATACATTTTCAGGCCAGACATTACAGAGCCCGTCTGGAGCCAGGCTGATTGAGGGAAGACTATACACACGCCCCTGCAAGATATCGACTGGGCTGAGAGTGCACACCTCCCCTGCATTTGAAAGGGCAGCGATGCAGGCATAGAGCGTAATGAGCCACGGCAGGGAGGAGACACCAAGCCAATGTAATGTTCCGCTGTCAATCACAACACGGAGCCAATCAATCTCTGTTTTTGTCTCTACAACGCAGGGCATTGATTTTACAACAATTTGCATTACTTAAAGGCGGAGAGAAAAACCTTGGATTTTTAATAAAATCTTTAAGTAATCAAATAACAAACTAGATTCAAAGCTTTCGTGACTGCAGGAATTACTCTTTGGTTCTTTCGGTAAAGTCACGTAGAAAGAAATAAAATAATAATAGAATACGACGTTTCAATTCCAGCACAAGCAACCATCATCAGGTACAAATGAATGAGAAACAAACATAGAAAAATTGGAAATACAGTGCAATACAACACAGAGAGTCTGCCAACAAAACAGTCAACACCCCACCTGGTTGATTACGTTCTTCCAGATTGCTAAATTTGAGAGCGAGACAAAACAAAGCTCTGTGCTTGTTTGTTTAGAAGTCCAGGGTCCAGCTCGTCCGTCCCCTATGGGCAGGAATTCCACACAACTCCCCCTCTGCCCCCCCTCTCTCTCTCTATTTAAGGCCTCGACACAGAGACGTTGTCTTTCTTTGTGCCTATGTGTCTGTCTCTCTCGGTTTTTTTTTCTGTGTGAGTCTCTCCCTGCTTGTGTGTCTGTCTGTGTGTCTCCGTGTCTATGTTTTGTCTCGCTCTCAAATTTAGCAATCTTGGGAAGAACGTAATCAACCAGGTGGGGTGTTGACCGTTTGGTTGGCCGACTCTCTGTGTTGTATTGCACTATATTTCCAAGTTGTTTTTTATGTTTTCTCATTCATTTGTACCTGATGATGGCTGCTTGTGTTGCAATCGAAACGTCGTATTCTATTATTCTTTAATGTCTTTCTACGTGACTTTACCGAAATAACAAAAGAGTAAATAAATAACGGCATGGAGTTGTATATGCTGATGCAAATACATTACCCTTGGCATTATTAGTAGATTTTTGTATTAGTATATTAACATGAGTGGAAGACAAATTGACCCTGTGATGCATTAAATCATGAAGTTATTTTGAACGCACTGTCCCAGTAATTAATCTAGAGCGTGTACAGCACAGTGGACTATGTAATATTGATATTTCTAAAAAGTCACTTGATTATGATATATAATGTAGTATTCTTCAGAAAATGATAAATGTAAAATGGTTGTGCCAGTAGTGTTGTCATTATTAATTCAAAATCAAACAACAAAATAGCATTTGAAGCTAACTTTACTCCAAGTGATTTTCAGATATTTTACACTTGGTAATGTTGGCATACCCATGCGATGAGTAAGTAAACTAAGTGCATCACGCACATGATTAAAAAATGACATGCACATATTTTTCTTTGGGAGATGACACTGAGAGAAACTGCATTGCACACGATCCAACGACACACTAAAAAAACCGGTTCAGTCATCGGAATATTTCTAATCATTTCATAGTCTACAAATGACTTCCTTAACAATACATCATGACCAGATGACAACGCACTGAGACTAATCTTTTGGAGTAGAATTATTTATAAAATAAAAGTTGTATTTGCATAAACGCTACCCTTACCATTAAAACCCGCACCTAATACTAACCCGATCCTTAAAATGACATATTTCACTAAGTTACCCACAAGTCTGAACTCTTTTCTAAACACGACTCATGTGCAGACAAATGAATCGTAACGTTTGCAATCTTCTATAAATCCACTGTTGGATAAAGGCTGCCCACAACATGTCGATCGTGGGTGCTATTGATTGACCATACCTGACCACACAGGTTGACTGAGGCTTCGCCAATGGATAGGGCTTGTATTTTAGCACAGTGTATTTCTATCGGTGTCTAGAATACATTACTATGGACTGTAAGTGTACACCCGCGGAAACGCATATATACACAAAGAACTAAAGTCATCAACAACCACGGAAGTGAGAACTGAACTGCACGACAGCTCATTTTCAGCCTGTAGATTGTTAGACAGAAGCTGTCAGCGAACATCTATGAAGAAGGGGAACACGGCTGCCAACCCATACTTCACAGCGCTGATGCACATGACACTGCTGCTGCAGCAGGCACTTTAGATGTATAGCCGAGTCAACCGAAGGATGATCGAGTTCACATTCAAACACAGACGCAACAGATCCCTGTTGTATATACTGGAATGCTACCTGGATTTTGTATGACTGCGTCTCGTGTCGTGTCACAAAGACACCCCGCATAGCCCACACAGCCTGTTACGCAAGTAATGTGCGGTAGCACCTATTCACGGCGCACGATGGGATGCGATGTGGGTCAGAACCACACCGCGGCCGCCTTTGTCTCCCTAGTGCTGATGTTAACAACAAACCACCCAGACACTCGTGAAAGGACGGCGTCGACCATGGCGAGGCGCAGGCACGGCCAGGTATCATTCGCCACCGATGTCAGCCGTGGCTGGGACTCGAAGTCGGGTGGCCGGCTATTCCAAGCGCTGCACCACCGCTGCCCACGCGGATGCACGCTGCGCTGCGCGTGCGCGCCAGGTTACTTGTTGCGGTACCTTTAGTCGCAGCCAGGAGGAGGGTGAACACGTCCAGATGCAGCCACACGTAGCAGAATCCAAGCAGCCGCTCCATTGTTGCGGTCTCCGCGGATGCAGCGCGCACGGCTGGCTCTCCGCGCCTCGGAGTCGACAAAGCGCGCGTGATAGATAACAAAGTCCAGATCTACACGCAGCGTATTCCTCCTCTTCCTCCTCTTCCTGCTGCACCCTAGCCCAGCTGAGAACGATGCACGCGTACAGCCCTGGCCGGGCGTTCAGAGGCTCCCCGCGCGAACTATGCCGCGATTGTGTGTGGCTTGCTTAAAGTGAACTAACAACGCGCCACTTTAAAACTCCGTGATAAATACAAAAAAACACGCGCCCCCTATCCCGTGACCCGCCCCCTCCTTTCCCCGCGTCTTCTCACAACACAGCGCATTCATTTGTAGACACGCTTTGCTATGCGTGCAGACAGACACTATATATACACACACAGTGTGTGTGTGTAGTGTGTGTGTATAGCAGCTGACAGCCTCCTATGACGCCCGTGCAGAGCGGAGCCTACGAATTTGTCGCGCTCCTTTTTCCAGCCTTTGTGGCAGCGCTAACTTACATATAGTTCCGCTAATATACACACACACACTGAGTTAGTTCCCTGCGTATGTGTGTGCCTATCCTTGTCTATGCGTGTACAGCACAACACACACATATATATAGAGCCTCCCCGACCAACGCATGCGCTTAACGCTCCGGGCGAAATGCGGGCTAACGCCGCCGCTGCTGCTGCTGTTGGATGCAAGAGCTGAGGATTTGGTGGTGGTGGTGGTGGGGGGGTAAAGGGATGGGAAGTTGGGCTCCGTTGGCTGGGGGGGCAGGGTTGGGGGTTGGGATGGCTGCAAGGGGTGTAAGGGGGGAGAGGGCACGATTTTTGGCTGTGCGCGTTGCACAAAGACAAAGGTCCTCCTACCACCCCCCAACCCCCGTATAGCCTTTCCAGGCTGTGGGGGCAAGTGATGTCAGCGAGCACCGAATGAAGACGGGAACGGTACAACGCGGGGGGGGGGGGGGGTGGCCAGCACCACACCCGACCGCCTTTGTCTCCCCCGAGTGGCGATGTTTTTTTCTTTCACGCATCACAGCAAGTACTCATTTGAGGCTGAGTCGACCTAGGGGGGGGGGGTGGGGGGTGGCAAGTACCGGTTCAGATAATCGTCACTGGTGTTGGCCGTGAGTTGTGTGTGTCTGTGTGTAGGATGCGGTACGACAAAAAGGGAGGCAGACGCATGTCGTTTCCGTTTGCAGTTGCTTTGTCAATCCACTGCTGGACTGAAGTTCTCCACACTGCGCGTCGGTCGCGAGGATTGTTTGCAATGCGCCAGCCACTCCGCCACCGCTCCCCCCTTGCTGTGGTTTGCTATCAAACGGGGAATCCATGCATCGCGTCGACCAGCTCGTGCCACGCAGTGCTAAACCGAGAACTGAACGCGCTACACACTGCAACGTTGCCTAAAAAAAAAGAGGAATGGGTCAAAGCGTAACTCTTTACCATAGCTTCTTCGTTAACCCTGAGACCATAATTGTAGAACATAGGAATCTTACGGTAAAGTCACGGAGGTAGAACAAATAGTAATAATAAATCACGACGTTTCGATCGCCACACAAGCAATCTCTCCCACCTGAAGACGATTGCTTGTGTGGCGATCGAAAAGTCGTGATCTATTATTATTATTTTTTTTCTACCTACGTGCCTTTCCCGAAAGAACCAATAGAGTATGGATGGATTCCTGCATTCGCGAAAGTTTCACATCAAGATAGGAACATTAACCGTAACTTCAGTGAAATCTGCATGGTATATCGTATCACAGAAGTATGATCCGATGTGCAAGGTAAAAAAGGGGGTGGGGGTCGTGTGCATTCAAACACTAAAACCCTAAATCTGCACGTTTTGAGAACGCGACGCTAAAAAAAGGGAACTCTAAGAGTTACGCGTCGTTATTTTATCGCCCCCTCTTTCTAGCAATACGTGAGCGTCACTCGGCTTGTCAACCGTCTGTGTTCCACATTCTGATGGCCAGGCATGCCGGATGGACAGTGGTAGAGAGGGGATGGACTGAATCGACCAGCCAACCGGGATTTAAGCGTGCAACATCGTGTAGTAGTAGTAATAATAATCATCATGAGAGTTCCTGATTCCAGAGATTACTACGTGAAACAATAAGATAACATTTTCAGTTTTGTCTTCAGCCATGGTAAATCTACTGCTGGATGAAGGCCTCACCAAGATGCCGCCGCTACTCACGATCATGCGATGTCAATCCGCCTAGCACCTGCAATCGAGCTGATTTCATCGCTCCATCTCTTGAATGGATGTCCTCCCCATTATGAGTGTTATCAGTTTATTTTACCATTCCTCGCGTATGATGCCAGTGACCAAAGGACGAGTAACTCAGACCACAGACGAGATCTGTTTTTTTTCTTCCCACAATTCATATTTGGCGATTCATTCATTATGTTTAGAGGCAAGAATGACGATATATGGACGCGGCATACGTTCGCATTCAAGGAAAACCTCATCAGGATCACAATTTTACTTGTCATTGAATGTTGCAACCGCCTGTTATTGAGGGTGTGGTTTGAAAATACATGAATGACAGTGTTCATTTAATGCCATCGTGGCCAGGAAATGAAGTTATAGCGTCGCCCTCGGCAGCAATGCACCGGTGATGACTCGATATGGCCTAAACTTAAACTCAAAAATTGTATTTTACCAGTTAAGGCTCAATGATCTATACAGCAATTTTCCCAAATGATAGCTCAACGAAGTGGCTTATCATGTGGACATTTATCAGGGCATGATATAATGGATAAAGTCATGCCTTTCACGATTAAACGTGACATAAGTAACTAGGTGTATACTGTATACGTTGCAGATAAGCATATTTACGTGTAACGAAATCATACGGAATGCGCCCTTTCTCGCCACATCTCGGAAGATAAGCAGGCTTGTACCTGGATAATGTTTGGATGGGCGGCCACCACGCATGACAGGCGTTATCAGCTACTGGACTAACGTGGTCTGCATCAGACGGCAGTGCAAACAAAATAAATTGTTGTACTGTATATATATGCTTCAACGTCAGTTTAGCACGTAGGCACGTAGAAGAATCCACGTATTTTGGACGCTTCTACGTGTTTGCTTCCTGCATTCAAGCGACCTTCGCGATAAAGTACCGTCAAATAGTCCCCAGGGGGGGGCGTACGTCGTGGGGATGCCGTTCTCATCCAGCAGTGGATTTTATGAAAAGTGTGATTTGCTCAACAATCCGCGGAGCGCCGTTGTTAGATTGCGACTCACAATCGGGTTGCGAGTTCACATCACGGTCACCCTGGCTGTCGATCTCCACTCATTCAAATCGGCATTACATCCATCCATAGTTCTCCCGCCAGACAGTCAGCCAGCCAGCAAATCTTAGTTTCAATTGCAGTATTTAAAAAAAAAACACACACACACACACAGACACATACCTAAAGATACTCATCCGCCAGTCGCTACCTGCCCGCTGCCCGCAAGGTGCTCCGTTGCCGACAGCGGCCATGATTTGTGGGTGCGCGTCTGCTGCACGTGTGCGCCAAAGCGCGCACACGCGCGTGCATCACCACCACCACCCCCCCCCCCCCCCCCCCCCAATGCGTGCTGGGTTTTCCGCGTCCCAACAGCAGCATCGTCACACAGAGTATTGCAGTCAAATGTGCCTCCCGGGATCATTACACTTTGCTCTGGACGGAACATATCTCCGTTTGCGATCCTGAGCCGAAGGTGGGAATTCCATATTCCGAAAGCGCAGTCGTCTTCACTAGTTTTCAGGGGGGGGGGGCACATTCGGCGATAAGACATCGGTGTGAGGGCCGCTACACCGCCTACCAGGGGTGTTTTCACTGTGTTTTGTCGGGGGCCGCACGCCACAGGCCGCACTAAAGGCCACCAGGGACCGCTAGTGGCCCGCGGGCCTTGCACTGAAGAAAACTGCTTTATTTTCCACCAGACTAGCGAGTCGCTCGACACACGGTACGCATCATCCCCCGCCCACGTGTGCCTGCCTCTTACACCCGTCTCATCCACACACACACACAAAAGAAGTGGTTACACGCTGCACGCTCCGACACGTTCTGCGAGAGAGAGAGAGCTCTCTCATTCAAATTGAGAGGAGCGTTAGCAACGCCACGTGGGACACCCACGGTTGAAGACGAAGACCCCCCCCACCTCCCCCCGTGTAGTCTTAACACAGTGGTGGGGCAATTGCGGATAGCGACGAGCATCTAAGAAGGCCGGAACGACACAGGAAGGTGTGGGTGTCCAGCACCGCGTCCGGCCGCCTTTTGTCTCCCTAGTGGCGATATTTACATTATCGCATCAGCTACTCATTTGAGGCCGAGTCGACCTGCAGAAGGTCCAGGATCGGTTCGGGTAATCGTCACTGGCGTTGGCTGTGAGCGAGAATCTATCTCGGGTCGCCGGCTTCGCAGTGCGGTCGTGGTGCTGGGCTGTGGGGGGGGGGTGGTGGCGACGGTGTGTGTGGGAGGCCTTCATCCACGAGTGGATAGACACATCATGATGACTTACTGCTGCTACCTGTCGCTCTGCACAGCTCATACTTTTGCACGGCCACCCCGGGGCGTGACGCCTCGCCTGCAGTCACACACCTGGCCGCGGCGGCGTCGGTGTCGGCGTCACACGGGGCTGCACGCAGCGCCTTGGCATCGACCAACATTCACTCCCAGCGGGATGCTGCGACTCGTTACATCTCGCGGAGGATGGCTCCAATGAACGATATATAGTCCCCGCTGTTCAGTTCGCATGTGCGAGTTCGCGTTCACACGTCGGATGGTTAAACACATAAATGCCTTATGGGAGTTCGTTCGTAAGTATACGGGTGTTCGTGTCGGGCGTTCGCACGTCGAGGACTTCATGGAATTGCAATTGCTGTTGTGGATCGAACTCGGGATCGCCGGGTTTTCGTTGAGCAGCGTGCTAACCTCTCCACTGCCGCTCCCCACACAGATCCCCCCCCCCCCGTATAGCCTGAACATACTTTTGGGGTAATGACTGTTTGCAAGCACCTATGGAGGCCGGCACGGCACACAAGGCAGTGGGTATCCACACGACGCCCAGCCGCCCTTTTCTCCCCCGTGCTGATGTGTACACGCCACACCAGCTACTCATTAGAGGCTGAGTCGACCTATGAGAGGTCCATGACCGGTTCAGATAAGCGCCACTTGTGTTGGCTGAGCGGGAATCGAACTCGGGTCACCGGGTTCCTTGCGCAGCGGGGTAACCGCGCTACACGACCACTCACGCGCAATGAAATACCCACCCCTCTTGTCATGGGGGCTTTCGCACAGCTGGGAGCTGGGTGCGTGTGAAAATGGGCAAAACACATTTAGAGGATCACAGTTTTACCGCGATTAATATTTAAGTACGCATACCATTTAGCACAGTTTTTTTTACACTGACCGTTTAATTATATTATCGATGGCTCATATAGGCATGCTGGAGATGGAAATGATGGTGGATCTGATTAAACCCTGAATGGGAGCACGATTACTCTCGAAAAATGCCCAAATGGATCAAAGGGTTTCCGGAGTCGCAAACGCACGTTTGAAAGCGGTTCAAATCCATGCTGTATACACGCTTTTTCTTTCCTTGTTAACCAATGCTTCGCCGAGTGAGGACTATCGTAGTGGCTCCGCATTAGCCAATGATGGAAATTTCACTTTTCAAGGCGGTAGCCAATTAAGCACATGTAACAATCACTGCCTAAA